GCTTTTCAAATAACCGAGCGAGCTCGTTAGTCCACTAATACTTCGCTTTGTTCCACTCTGCAATTCGAAACGCCTCTTCCTTGTCCCTCTTTTACGCAAGTATGATGGGAATCGGTAGGCATAATCAAATGACACTGGTGTATGAGAAATTTAATCTTCTGCTTTGTAGCTTTGCAAACGTAAATCGTAATGAAGTGAACTGCGTGCACTAAGATTTCGCGAGGATTCCGTAAATTAATAAAGCATTATAAATGATCAGCTGATGCCATTTGAGTTGATTCAAACTGCGATTCAAACTTCCTTTTTTTGAGTCAGTGTTTTAATAGTTACATTCACCGATTCACAGATTCTACACTAACACATTCATAAATGACATCTGATTGGTTCAACCTGGTTCAACCGGATCAATGGTGGATGCGCAAAGCGAACCTGCGTAACTTACTCCCCACTTATCGAGTGCAATATAACCGATTAATAAACAATTTACTATTTTATTTATTTATATATTGTATATGCTTTATATCATTTTATGATATATTGATATTTATTTTGCAAACCCTTGCGCACATCATTTCTTTTGTCTTACGACAATTCGAATTCAAATTCTCATTATAAACTTTGATATCAAAAGAGATCCTGCGTATCATTCTATAATAATCTCTTAAAAGATTATTTGGTCAGTTTACGTTACAATTACGTGTATAGATATATGTACTGGAGTGCAAACGGCGACACGGTGTATACAACACGTAATCATGCGTAACGGTGGAACGCAACGAACCGACTAATCAACAGTCATTCTAGTGACCGAGCTTTCATTATTGGCGTTCGTCCATCGACCGACAATGGGTTTGTCATTGTCCTAGCAAAATCTGTTCCTTCATCAAAGCGTGAGCGTGAATTAATTAATCAACATCGTATCTTTACAATAGACTCGCAAAAATTGCATCGACTTTTGATTGCATTTAATCGATTTTAATCCAAATTAAATTGTTACATGTCTAATTATGACAAAAAAAGTTTTAAGCGGAAAATATTCATTCAACAACGAAGATATGTTTTATAATACGTTTAGAAAAAATTATTGAATTGAGCAATTTAAACTTTCTAATTCTGTCGCACAATACTACAGTTAGAATATTACATGATTGTCACAGAAGGCGAAAGCGGATACAGCACTATAGGATCGATACTTTCTATTGATTTGAATTTTAATAGAATTTAGGCAGATGTTATTAAGTGACAAAGAGCTTCTCGCATGCGAGAAGTATCGTCTGTTGTGCATCTATCTGTATGTATCCGTGTATTTTGATCGGCCGATCGACAAAAGAGAGATTCTTGGAAAGCGAAAAACCTAAATAGAGGCCTTCCGAGAAGCGTTGAATACGGACAATTATATAAATATGAATAAATTCTTTCTCTTTTCTATAAAGTGATCTGCTCAGTAAATTTCCTACAATACAGAAACTATAATAGTAAACAATATTATAAATCGATGTAACTTTTCTTAGTTTTTTCTTGGTCTTCTTTGTATCAATAACGATCCAATGCAAGACGAAAGATTGCGCACTTATTGCATTCTGAAATTTTCGTGAGTTTTACACCTCGCTCCTCTTTACAAAAGAACGCTGCCAGGAAAATAACAGAAATTCCACGGAGAAATACGTATCTCGACTACATATCATCCACGATATTTCAAGCTAAGAAAAACGAAAAGTTTTTGATAAAGTAAAGGATGTTAGTTCAATATCTTCGCTTACATAAAAGTCTTATCGATAAAGAATATGTAGAAAAATAATAATAACGCACAATATTAATAAAAATTTACTCAATTTTGAAAGTTTAATTAATTAAAATAAGAAAGAAAATCATGGAAAGCATTAGCGTACATAATAAAAAATGTTTTCATTACTTATTTACTTGATCGTATCATACTTTTTATATTAATATATTGTACATTAATGTAAAAAGTATATTGATACATTGTATTAATAAGAGTATATTGTGTTATTTGTATTGATTATATTATTTGAAAAAATTCAAATTTAGTTTTATTTTTTATCATATCTCTGTCTAACTTCAATACACATTACATTCCTACAACGTAACAAAATCGCAAGTGTAAAATCATCTTTTAATTAGAAACTTAAACATAAATCTTAACAGAGATTTATATATCTGTATACTTTTATTATTAATTAATGTTGCAGAGATTGTAGATAATATCTAGTGTCTCTGAATCCTCAAAAATATAAATGATGCGCGGCAGCACACGCGACGACCAGAGAGTCGTTCTTATTACCTTTTTACGATCCCTTCTTATCGTATCTTTCCCTCTTCACGCCTTCAGAAACCTCGAGATTGCGAAGCAGCTCATGCCAATCTCGGCGTAAAATCCGATAAAATTATTTCATTCGATATGTTTGTCACTACCGTTCATATCGCCCTTTTTCCCTTCATAGCAATGAGCATGCAAAAGGCAAATCCCACCTTATATTCAGATCGGATATATTTACCCTCTTATGTATGTACATCCCCCATTTTCCATCATTATTCAACTATCTTAATAAGAATTTTACACTTGGAAACCGTCTTCAATAATAAATATTTAATAATTAATATTTTTTCCATTTTCCATAATTGTGAGTTATCCTGGTTTATGGAAAAGAATAAAAATATTCCATGAAAAAATTCTAAATAGTGATTTGAAATTTAGATTTGATATTATTCTAAATATAAAAAAATATCCTATATTTTTGTTGGATCATATCTTTTAAACATAACAGATAGATTAATTTTGTTCATAGCTTCTTAAAAGCACTTAAAAAGCACTTAAAAAGCACTTAAAAAGCACTAAATTGTAGTGTATTTATTTTTTAATTTTTAATATTATTTAATGGTAAGGTTAACGTTAAGCTAACATTCCCACTTTTATTTGCAAATTCCTATTAAACGGTTCGAGCACTAAAATTTAAACTAGAGCACCGAAATTAGCACCTAAATAGCACTAAAATTTTAGTATAAGTTTTATTTCAATTTTTGAGATACTAGCTCTTAACAGATAGCTCTAATGTTTAAAATTAGAAGTAAAAGCTCTTTAAGTCAAACTACGAAAATATCCTACTTTAAAAAAGGCATGTTACATATTTTTTATTCTTTTCTTTTGGAGCTCTCTTTTGAATAAACGGTTGAAATTCGGGCAACAATGCATCATAAGAGCGTATGTAAATGCATATTTCAATTTCAAAACACGCGAAATATTTATAACAAGCGAAATTTTCACGTTCTTTTCAGCGGTGCATTTTACGAACTGTCAAGGACCTACTTCGGACCAGAGGAGCCCGAAGTTACACGTGTATAGACGATCTATTGTGCACTTACAATACAGGTAGGAACACCTTGTCACGATCAAGCCGAACCAGTATGTATGTTAGGTAAAATAAAAAAAAAATGGAGTAAAACGGAAAGAAAAATAGAAAAAAAAAAATAGAAAAGGAAAATCTGAGGGATAAATTGGCACGTGAAAGAACGATGCGCATTTACAGTGCGCATGGAATACTCGGAATTCATTCTGGAAACTGACAAGTGAAGTGTCCTTTTATCTAGTACGGTTTTTCTGTGTCTAGCCTGCCAATCAAGAATCGCTTTCATACAGTGCTGGGTTGTCTGAATTGTCGTGTGGATTGTCATTCGAAAACAAACTTGCAGTTTCGTAGAAGGAAGTATTTTTCACATAGATTTTGCATGGTTCTTTTACGTAATAAATTGTGATACTCTAATGTTTACACAATCATTATCTCGATAATATGATGCACAGAAATCAACGCGTGAGAAATTTGCGTATATGCGAGAAACGCACATATATATGCCGAAAATACGCATTTACGTGCATACCGGTGTGTTCATAAGTTAAAGCGCGTGTGCTGCATACGCAAAATTGATTAGACGACGAAATCCACACGCCCGCTTTAATATCGAGGCGCAATTTAAATGCATATCACATGCTGCCGCAGGGATTATCATAACCGAGCAATTATCATGCGGGAGTTTAGAACTGTTTGCTCGCTCGTTGGCAGACATGCCAGCGTCAGTTTACCTATCTCTCAGATCCGTCCATGCCTGACCATAAATTCGCGCTGGTGAATTTCCCAAGTTACACCTAAGTTTCACGAATGACTAAGCACCAATAAATCCCTGTCGCGCAACATTAATCCCGACACAGACGAAGGACGACTGACACTCTACGATCCGTACGTATCTCTACGATCGACATAAACGACTACTATTAGAATTATCACTGACAATTTATTATTATTTATATATCTTCCCATTCGTATTCCATGATTTTTGGGGATATTTAAATATTATTATCACGAAAATTGTTGTACGACTTTTTTCTCGCAAAGTTATAACAGTTCAAAAATAAAGAGTTAAGTGTAAATAGAAAAATACAAATATATTTTTAAAAAAACACTACGTAATTACTATCTGAAATGTTCATATATATATTTAAACAACTAATATAACTATACAGGATGGGGAAAAAGAAACGATCCCTAAATACTTTTGAAACATGTCAAACATAAACTTTAGAAAAAACTATTTTAAACAAAAAAAATTATAGAATGTTACGTACTCTTTTTAGCAATTGTATCATTTTGACGTTGGCCATTCTGACAGTCAAGTCAAGTTCAGATCAAATCTTTTTAACAGAACCTCCCACTTTTTGTTATAGAATCTTAAAGGCGCTATTAAGACAATTTCAAAAGCGTAGTGATAATTATTTGTTATAATAAATATATTATAATATAATATTGTGAGAGGGACAATGACAACAATTTGCCAAACAGGATGAATACATCTTTACGCATAGCAATATCACCGTAGTAGAGAATAAAGGACAAGTAAATTCTTACGCGCGACGGTATTTCAAAATTAATACATGTACGCGCGCTTCAGGAAACCTTACAAACCGAATGAAGAGGGAAAAGAAATCTTACCTTTAATATTACGAAGTCCATGTCGCGTAATTAAAGAGCTGATCGATAATCCTGTCCAATATCTAACAATCCTGAATATTCTGTAGTAGAATGAATGATGTGCAGCAAGGTACAGAACAGAAGAGTAATCAACAGTAACATAATAATGGAAGAGGAACGATCAAACACGCGACACTCGTCATTATCATTTCACTTGTTCGTTGATCCGGGCGAATCGAGAGCAACGCACTCATACAAAGTGTAATACCAAATCACCCATGTTATCACTGCAATAATTTTTACACAATTTTTGCCGAATCAGACACGTTTTCCGCAGTTGTTTTATATCACGTAGTTAAACAAAAGCAAACGGATAAATGATTAACGCAAAAATCCAAAACTAGAAGATAACTCCAACTAACCTAACCAACGCGCGTGACGACTCGGCGTAGACTGAAATGAGCGCCGCTCGAGTCGTGAGTGGGAAGTGGGAAGCGCGTTTCGACGCTACAAGAGCAAGAGGTAGGGAGCGAAAGCGCACGAACGCAGAATCGACAAGGACTGCTGAATTTACGCGAGGTGAGTAAAAGCGAGATAAAGAGAGAAAGCGAAAGAGAAAAAGCAAGTTAGTGCGCACACACGACAAAGCGCGAGAGTCGAGAATGGGAAAGAGCAATGGAGTGTGAGAAGTGACCATCCAAGCACGACGCGAGAGAGAAAGAATGAGAACAACTCCAAAATCGGAAATAGATGTAGATTTGAATGAGAAAGTTGGAGAAGTAAAGAAGAGCGAGAGTAAAAGCGAGAAAAAGTGAGAGGGAGGGGGGGAGGGGGAGAGAGAGAGAGAGAGAGAGAGAGAGAGAGAGAGAGAGAGAGAGAGAGAGAGAGAGAGAGAGAGAGAGAGAGAGAGAGAGAGAGAGAGAGAGTAGAGAGAGAGAGAGAGAGAGAG